TTGGGCAGGGCCACAAATAATGAGCCACAGTGGGACTGAGGGGATGGTCTGGGATTCAGGGATCCTCAAGGTGGTTTTTTTTCTGGACTGTCCTCTCCCAGGGCAACATTGAATTGTGCCTTGGATCAGCACTGCACCTGTCTTTCTAATTGCTTTTCTCCTGCCATCCTGGAAATGATAGTACTTCAGATACCTGGGGGGAGTCTTGCCTTACTGTGGCAGGAACCTAGAAGGAAATGACTTTGTGCTTTAAGGCATGTTGTTGTCAGTGTCTGGAATACCTTGGGCATAGCCATGTGCTCAGATGATCTGAGTCTTTTGCATACCCCTCCAAAGAGTTTCTTGTAATCATGAGGAAAGAATGTATTGGGTGCTCCAGAACCTTTTCTGTGTAATAAGGAAAAATAAAAAGGAAGGATAGAAATTCTTGCAGAAAACACTAGAACCTGGGCTGAGTGCTGTGGAGAATACAAAGAAAGAAAAGACACTGTCCCTACGCTTAAATGTTTACCATCCAGTGGGCAAAGTCAGCTCGTGCACACACATGCAGCAAGTGCCTGAGCATCGCAGGAGAGTCACAGACCCCAGCCCAGGACAGCTGGCAGGCAGGCCAGGGACATGTTGCTGATGGCTGGGCTGTGTTGTAGGCAGCTACCTACTAAAAATAAGCATGGTGTTCGTGGAAGGCTGACTTAAATTAGACTGGGCTCAAGGTCATACACAGAATGATGTCACCATCACCGGCTCCTGGTTCTTTGTATTCTTTGGAATTGAAGGCTGAGTGACAGGCAGCTAGGAACTGAACTGTACACACTGGCAGGTTCACTAATGGTGTGGTCCGAGAGTGTCCTGGCAGCAAGAGGATTGAGACCAGTGGTCCCCTGGATCATTCTACGGGACTGAGAAGCGGGGGAGCAGGAGATAGCTCACCGTTTCCTGGGGTGGTAGAGTCAAGACTATGCCTTCAGTGAAGGGTGGGATGGGGTGAGTGCAGCAGAGGGCTCAGTCCTCTGATACAGGGGACAGGGCTGGTAGGACAGTGCTCTGACCGGGTTCTTGGTGGCAGAGTGTTAGAAGAGTGTCACAGGAGCCTTGAACCCTGAGCTTAATGCCAGCCTAAGGAACAGGGCCCTTGTCACTGCAGCCCCAGCACAGACAGGGTCCACCCACTGCAGAGGAGGTGCTCAACACATATTTGCCAAATGACTATATTAATGAACTAGACCTGGCAACCAGGTTTTATCCCGTGGGTGAGATGTAGAAGACTGGATGGAGAAGTGGCATTTGGCAGGAGGTGCTCTGTGGACTTTTCTCCTTAGCATCAAAACTTCCTGTCCTGAGTCTTATTCTATTTGTCAAACTAACGAGTCTGAGAAGTCAATACCAGGTGCTAATGAAAAACAGCAGCTGACTGTAACACTGCTCCTGGGTATGTCAGCATTTTAACACAAGCCTTCAAACTGCTTTGTTTTGTTTTTGTTTGTTTGTTTTGAGATAGAGTCTTGCTCTGTTGCCCAGGCTGGAATGCGATGGCGTGATCTCGGCTCACTGCAACTTCCGCCTCCCGGGTTCAAGCGGTTCTTCTGCCTCGGCTTCCTGAGTGGCTGGGATTACAGGCACCCACCACCACAGCCAGCTAATTTTTGTATTTCTAGCAGAGATGGGGTTTTACCATTAGCCTGTCTCAAGCACCTGACCTCAGGTGATCTGACTGCCTTGGCCTCCCAAAGTGCTGGGATACAGGCATGAGCCACCATACCCAGCCTTCAAATTGTTACCAGATGTCTGGGAGCGCAGCAGTCATGCAAGGCAGGGGATTGGGTGGGCAGGTGTTCTGGTTGGAGAATCTGTTAGGTATCCTGAACGTCTCCATGAGGAACTGTATCCAGCTTCTGTTGTCAGACAGGCCTTGGTTGGCTTCCACCTTGACAGTCAAGCTACATACAGCTTTGGTTGGGCGCAGTGACTCATGCCTGTAATCCCAGCACTAGGGAGACTACCCTAGTAGTCTGAAGTGGGCAGATCACCTGAGGTCAGGAGTTCAAGACCAGCCTGGCCAAGATGGTGAAACCCTATCTCTACTAAAAAAATACAAAAATTAGCCAGGCGTGATGGTATGTGCCTATAATCCCAGCTACTTGGGAGGCTGAGGCACAAGAATTGCTTGAATCTGGGAGGTGGAGGTTGCAGTGAGCCTAGATCACGCCACTGCCCTCCAGCCTGGGCAACAGGGCAACACTCCATCTCAAAAAAAAAAAAAAAATATGCCTACGGCTTCATGTTGTTTTATCTCCTCCCTGGTGTAGCCTGGAGAATTTCAGATTCATGAAGGTCTGAACAGTGGGGTTGTGCTCCCATTCTCTTCCATCTCCAGTGGGGCTCTGTCCCTTGACTATGGCTGTCTGATACCCCAGCTAAGTCATTAAAAGTGACCTTGATAAAACTGGCAGTGCTTTCTCACTGCATGAGGAATAACTTGAAATAAAACCTATGCAATCTAATGTTGCTTTTACTGCCATGTAGCTTTCTTTCTCAGTTTTTTTCTTTTTTAGCAAAGCAAATCAAATGGATTTATGTTGCTCTCTGATCACCAATGTAGTACTCTGTAGCTGCCTCATCATGATCATTAGACTAGAGTAGTGATAATCCTAGAGACTGCCTGCACAGGGAGCACGTCCAGGTCACTGCTGTCCCAGAGACACATTTCCCTGTGTCCCTGGATCAAGGGCCACCTGAGTTTCCCTGGAACTTTCTCCTTTGACACTGCCCTGTGGTGTACTCCCTCTTAAGATATTATTGACAAGTCTAGAGGAAAGCCTTGACTCATTTGAAACTTTTAAGAGAATCCTGCTACTTAACACCTCTAGGCTGAAGCAAGCAGCTGGCAATCTATCTCGATTTTACAGCGGTCAGAGGGCCTGTCAGCTTAAGGGTCACATTTGGCATCAGCATGCATTATTTTTGGAATTTCAACATGGAGCTCAGTACACATCACATTTCATTCCCTAGGCTATTGATGTCCACAGAGCTATGGGGCCATCCATCTCTGTCAGAGATTATCACGTGCACCTTTAGGAATAAAGTTATTAATACCCTCTCACTTGATTTGGCCACTTCAAGAGCTAGAATTTTGATGTCCCTTTTTTTCTGCTCTACCCTTCTTGACTATATTTTAAAATTCAGAAACATCAACTTTGGTTTGTCCTAGTCTGCCTTGATGGCTTAGGACCAATCCTTTGGCCCTGGGTAGATGAATCTCCTGGGGTGCCCTGAGGACTGGAGGGTGGTCTCTCATCATCTGTGGTTGTGGAATATTGGGCATCCATGAATTATCATGCAGACTTGGAAAGTGGGAAGAAGGGGCTTCTGGGTCATTTGGTGGCAGAACATGTCTCAGCCAAGGGCAGGGACTGCCAGTTGCCATCCGAAGTCATTCCCTTGCTCCTTAGGCTGTAGCCCTGATTTTACTTAGGACTGCAGTGTACCCTGCCTAAAAGCATTTCCCAGTTTCCATTGCCAGCAGACAGGGTCATGTGATGCCATTTTGGCAGTGGCTAAGTAATGGAGCTGTGGGGTGGGACTTCCGGGCAGGGTGCTTCAAGGGAACTGACTCAGCTGGGGGATGTGCTTCTGCATCCTCCCAGTGGCCCTTCTGCTCAGGACTGTCATATGGACATGCTGCTTGGCACTGAAGACACCATGTTGAATCATAAGGTGGCCGAGGACAGAAGGCTGGGCTGAGATGACTGAGTAGCAGGATAGAAAGAGCCTAGATCTGTTTTCAAGATTTTAAAAATGAACCTTTTTATTTTGAGATAATTATAGATTCACATGCAGTGGTAGTAAGTGATATAGAGATGCCCATGTATTCTTTTTTTTTTTTTTTTTTTTCAGAGATGGAGTCTCATTCTGTCACCTAGGCTGGAGTGTAGTGGTGCAATCTCAGCTCACTGCAACCTCTGCCTCCCGGGTTCAAGCAATTCTCCTGCCTCAGCCTCCCACATAGCTGGGATTATAGGTGCCTGCCACCACACCTGGTTCATTTTTGTATTTTTAGTAGAGACGGGGTTTCACCATGTTGGCTAGGTTGGTCTCAAACTCCTGCCCTCCAGTGATCCACCCACCTCAGCCTCCCAAAATGCTGGGATTACAGGCATGAGCCCATCATGCCCAGCCTGCCCATCTATTCTTTACCCGTTTTCCCCCACAGTATCATAGTACCACAGCATGGGTGGGGTCTTGACTTTGATATAGTTAAGGCAGCAGAAGAGAACCCTCATCATGCACCTCTGCACAACACGCCATGGAGTACACATCCATTACCCCCCGCCCCGCACCTGCCCCAACCTCTGGAAACTGCTCATCTGTCTCCATGAAGGCAGAGTCTCTATCCCAGCCCTAAACCACTCTCCTTGGTATGAACTTAGATTGATCGAAAGACATAAATATCTAAATTAATGATGCCACATCATTTTAAAAAATGTTATACAGTCAAACCTAACCCTTAACTGAGACAACAGAGGTCCAGAAAAGGAGACCAAACTATCATTATTATATTGGGGGAAATATATACTTGTGGTTTCAAAGAAGCAGGACATCTCAGCCACATGCGAAAGGATTGGGGGTTGCTGCTTTCACATGCCATTGCATTTCCCTTCCTTGCAGCGGTGACCCTGGCTTTTATGAAGTGCTTTTGAATGTTTTTATTCCTGTCTTATTTGGGTATTATCAATAATTTATTTTAAATATTCTAGCTCCTACAAACATTTACTTCAGAAGGATTTATTGCATCCTAAAGTCTGCATTTATGATTTCTTGAGATGATATCACTTCCTTGGAGATTTCAGTTCTGATTCTCAGAAAGAGATTAGTGGGGGAAGTAGAATTTGATGTTCAGAAATGTTCCAGAAACTTGGCTACAATGTGTCAGGGCTGCTAGGTGGGCTGCCATGTCCCGGGCCTGTTTCAGCTGGCTGCTCACGGTGTGTCTCCCCTTCCAGGAGCCGGTGTCAGAGAGGATGTGTTTCTCGTTTGGCGGGAGATGGAGGAAGCCTGCAGCACACTGGCCCAGATCCAGAGGCTGGTGGCCGAGCATCCCAAGCCCGACGTGGCCACAGTGGACTGTGGTTGGTGCTATTTCTGGTCACTGATGTAAAAGGGTCATAAATGTTTTTAGCTGGGGACCAGGGGCTGCTTCCATGTCCCTGACCGGGAGCTCCGGAGCTCAGCTGTGAGGAGCTGCTGAGGAGAGCTGTCAGAGATGTGTGGGGTGGGGGGGGAGGGGGGTTGTACATGCACCTGTGTGTGTGTGTGTGTGTGTTTGTGTGTGTGCGCCCATGTGCTCACATGTGTGTGTATGTGGAGATTGTCAAGGCCCAGAGCAGGACAGTAAAGTGGTAAAAACAGATTCTTGGCAAACTCTTGTATACCGAGGGAGACCAGACCTCCATATAAAACTAGGCTCAATTCTGAGTACAACATGGACAAGTGGGGATTCATAGCCAAGGAGCAGGGGAACACCAGAGGATGGAAAATTATTAAGAGGAGACGTCAGGGGCAAGGGGCTTCTGGCTAAAGCAACTTAACAGGATTCTTGCAGGAGAGAGGCCAGTGTGATCAGACGTCACCTGGGGGACAGTGGGAACAAGGACGCTGATCAGATAGCAAGGTGATCAGATACTGAGGTGGGACATTCTGGCTGCACTGACTTACGCTTTTTGCTAAAATCAGGTGATGCAGAGATGAGCATAGAAGTGCAAAGGTTGAGGCCTCACTGAGAAGAGCATTCAGGGGAGCCTGGCTAAAGGCTGGGCAAGGGGACTGTCAAGTTGCCTGTACTCTTCCAGGGAAGAGAAGCAGGAGGAGAGCTCAGTGATCGGCTCAGCTAACCTTGACCCTTGCCTGCAGACAAAATCCCATCGAAGCCGTCTGTGCAGGCAACCATCTGCCTCACTCTCAGATCCCTACAGCAAGGCCTAAATCACTTTTCTTTGAGTGGGGTCCAGGCCCTCACTGCAGAAAAGGGCACAGGCTGGGGAAGGGGTGTGGAACATTTACTTGGAAGGAGTAGTGTGAATGGGGGTTCGAGTCATCAATATTAAAAAGAAATTATTAAAATCTAGTGGCATTTCTGGTACTCACTTAGCACTCTTCCATCTAGTTTGGAATAGCCACTTGAAATTTTGGAGTTTGGAAGTCTGATTTGCACTCCCTAAATGGTAGTAACAGCAATATTGAGTGAGGACATACCATGTGTCAGGTGTTACCCTGAGGGGTAGGCCTATTTTAAGCTCATTTAAGCCTCATAACTCTACCAGGAAGTTTCTAGTATTATCTCCAATTGACAGGCAAGGAAACTGAGTCACAGGGAGATTAAGTAATTGGCCATGGTCACATAGCTAGCAAACATAGTCTGATTTTGAACCCAAAATATAGAACAGAAACTTTCCCACCTAGTTAAACTTTTACAAAAAATGTTAGCAGTGAGGCTATATTCATCTTAATGTTAGTTTCCATGATTTAATGAGCACCTACCTATTCCGAATAAATGAAAGCACTTCCTGGTGTTTGATGTGTTCCAGCCCCACAACTGCACCATACAAACCAGCTCATTGCAGTTTTACTAGTGAATGACATTGAGATTACACACAGTATTTTCTCCCTTTTTTTCTTGTAAACCAAAACATTTTTCATAACAAAGGGCATGAGTTTAGGAGTGAGAAAGACCTGGTTATAAATCCCAGCTCCATCGCTAGGTCCACCTGAGTTTGTCTCTTTCAGCCTTATTCCTCTGCACAATGACTGATAATCTTGATGCTGAGGAACTGGGTACAGACGAAATCTGACAATGCCTGCTCTACACCAAGCAGGAACTTGATGTCAGCTCATTCTTTGCCCTTTCACACTTAGGGGAGTTAGTACGTGGATTCTCCTGCATGGCCTTTCCTCTGTAAGGTGCTGGTTTCCTTTGGGGCACACCTGGTGGACACACATACCTTACACAGCAGGCTCTGTTTAAGGCTCCTCACCATATTAGCTCATTTTGTATTTGCCACAATCTTATGAAACAGGTGCTACTGCTGCTATTATCTCCATTTTGGCTTCAGTAACTTGACCAAGGCTACACAGCTAGGTTTTGAAGCTTGGATTCAAAACCTAGTGCATCAGTAAAAGTACTAATGTATGCCTCCCACCCATCAGACATGTAGTCGGGATGTCTGATTAAATCATCCTGATTTAATCCCTAGGGGACGACATTGGGACTTTTGAAAGCTCCCCAGGTAATCCTAGTGTACAGCTAATTTTGGAACCACTGCCAGGCTGCAGTGCCTCCTGGGTTACAGAGGTGCAGTGGGCAGAGAGCAGGGAGATCAGGACCGCCAGGAAAGGGATGCAGTTAGAGGAGAAATGAGGACCAGGACTTGTGTAGAGGGAGAGAGGGAGGTTGAGGTATGGGCAAGCTTGCCCTGTGTTACTTGATAAATTTCTGGTGACTGTGGTCTTTTCCTGTGACTGGGTGTTCTGACTTGGGCTTGGGGCACCAGCCGCTACAGTTCCATTGCCAGGGCTGGCTGTCTGGGGGTTCCTGAGAGGGGCCTGAAAGGCTTGTCAGGAGGAGCTGCTCACATGTAGTGACACCCACTCAAAAACCCAGACTATCCCCTGTCATCCTGCAGATGAACAGAATGAACACCAAGCAGGGGACCCAGGCTAAACACAGCAGCTCTGCCAGGCAAAGAGAATGGTCAGCCTGCTGCTAAGGGATTTGTTTGGGGGAGTGTGTGGGCTGAATTGTGAATCCCCCAGATTCATACAATGAAGCCCCCACCATGTGACTGTATTGGGAGATAGGGCCTTTAGAAAGGTAATTAAGGGGCCAGCTATGGTGGCTCACATCTGCAATCCCAGCACTCTGGGAGGCCAAGGTGGGTGGATCATCTGAGGTTGGGAGTTTGAGACCAGCTTGACCAATGTGGCAAAACCCCATCTCTACTAAAAATACAAAAATTAGTCAGGCGTGGTGGCATACACCTTTAATCCCAGCCACTCAGGAGGCTGAGGCTTGAACAAGAATTGCTTGAACCCAGCAGGTGGAGGCTGCAGTGAGCAGAGATTGCCCATTTCACTCCAGTATGAGCAACAGAGTGAGATTCTGTCCCAAAACAAACATGGTAATTAAGGCTAAATTAGGTCATAAGAGGAGGCCCTAATCTGATAGGATGGGTGTCTTTATAAGACGAGGGAGAGACACAGGCAAGCCCTCTCCCCATGAGCACTCAGAGGAAAGGCCATGTATGGCACAGGCTACCTCCTAGGCAGGAAGAACAGCCTCACCAGAAACCTACGCTCTGGGACCTTCATCCTGGGCTTCCAACTTCAAACAGTGAGAAAATAAATGTCTGTCGTTTAAGACCCCAGCCTCTCGTATTTTGTGATGGCAGCCCAAGCTGACTAATACAAGGCTTATTTAAGTTTGGTGTAGTTAGTCTTAAGAGTTAACAGAAGTTCTTAGATGTTATTCCTAAAGGAAGTAGATGAGTTATAAGCCTCAGAAATTGGACAATGATGTATCAATTCCCTTTGTTTCGATCTAATACACACACACACAACTAAGACCCAAAATAACTGTAAGCAGAAATTTTCAAAAAATTTTTTAATGTACCACCTCTATTTAAAAAAGACAGTTTGGCAAGGACCTTTCATCATTGGCTAGCCATCTCAGCTTTTGTAACTTTGATCTGGCCCCAGAGTCTACACCACGTGTCTGACCTGCTCTCATTCTCACCGCAGCCCACTGTTACTGAGGCAAAGACTGGGTCAGTACGGGACTGGCTTGGGTGGCCTCATAGGAAGGCAGCGGCCATTCCCCTAAGCTGGCTGCTCAGGGCCTGTAGGACCCAGGAGAGAAGGTGGCCAGCTGGAGAGGGAAGGGGCAGATTGGAGGAGATCTAGCAAATTGCTATTTCACATGGAGCCTTCAGATGAATTAGACAGAGGCTGATCTCCTCAGTGATGGCAGCCCACACATGTCCCCTGGGCTGGGCACACTAGTTCAAGGTCAGCAGGCACATATAGGTCCATAGGACCAGGAGGGCAGTTTCTGGGAGAAATGTCTCATGAGCCTGGTGCCTGGGATGAGAAGAAGGTGAGAAGAAAGTGAGGCCACTTACAGTTTTTTTTAAGCTCTTTTAATTACCAAGAGCAGGACATGAGAGTTCCCTGAAAAAAACTGCCAAAACTATATATGACAAAATGGTTTGTAGGACACTGAACACTAAGAATGAAGGCCAGTGATTTCTGACATTGAGGGCAAAACAATGGTGAGCTCTAGGTTTTCTTCACTTACTGCCTTGAGAGAGATTCCAGGCCCTGGTGCACAGAGGAGGAACCCAAGTGGAGCCCAGAAAACATCCTGAGTTTGGGAGACAGCTGACAGTCTGCAGGGACCAAGGCAATTCACAGGACAAAGTACCAGAGAGGAGATAGATGCACAGAGAGAGAAGTCAAGAAATCTGCACAGGAATCCCCCTAGAGAATTCATTTGAATACTGATCAACTCATGCATGAGAGAAAATTATCTGAGTCTGGGGAAAGGGCCATTGGAAAGAATTAGAAGAAACGGGGATTGGAATTCACACAGGGCCAGGAACAGGACCTGTTCTCATCAGCCTGAAAGCTTTAGAATTCATGGGGCCTTGGGTGGACTGCTTGGAAAGGTCTTGCCTCAGTCATGAGGAATAATTAGCTTTAAACTGAGCACTGCTTCGGGCCCTCCTAAGAAATCACTAAAGCAAGCCACGAAAAGAACAAACCATTTCTGGGTAACATAACTGCATCTCTGAATTTTAAGATAAATTTTAAGAACAGAAGCATTCAGTACCCAACAAGGTCAAACTCGCAATGATTGGCATCTAATCAAAGATTACAAGGCATGAAAAGCAGCAGAGAAATGTGATCCTTAATAAGTAGAAAAATCAATCGATCGAAACTGACTGAGAACTAACACAGACATTAAAATTGTCAGAGGAGTCACTCAGAGTTATAACCGTATTCTTTATGTTCAAAAGCTAAGTCGAGACCAGAAAGATATTTAAAAAGACACATACCGAACTTTTAGAGATAAAAA